ATAAAATTACTTTTGCTGCTACTTCATAATTATAGTTTCCGATCGTGACGTGAACGTCTGTATTTTCCAAGGGTCTTTTGGGTCAAGAATCACTGAGCTATAGATGGCTACAGAGCACAAACCCACGTTTCTGCTTCAGAAGTTATAACATGGGAACTTTCCAAAGTTCTCACAGGAAACTTTCCAAACAAAGGAACAAGTGCCTTTTATAACACGCCAGTGTACGCACATTGGATAGTAATGATCCAGCATGTTTACCTGTCACAGCGATGTGGGTACCTCGTGGTGTATGCAAATACACACATTTGCATATGCAAATCCACAGTGGTGGGTTTTAAAGGGACGGTGGAAAGAGTGTTCAAAGTCTGTTTTTCTTTTTCTCACTACCAAGTTAGGAGAGTGAATTATTAACCGGCACAGCCCTTGGCAGACAGCAGGGCTCAGCATGCATAAATCATGTCTTCTCTCTATGCCCATTTTTAAATTCTTCTTTGAGAAACTGAGTAAAAGCAAGCGGGAGCCTGGCAGAGCGTTCCCAGTGGAGGTTGGTAAACTCATAGCAAGACAGGTAGTATTTTTGTGCATGAGTCAGGAGAGTAAAGAGGGGCAGCACCCACATGAAGAGAGGCAAGACCTTGTCCCAGTAAAGCAGTGGTTCTCAACCTTCCCAACGCTGCGACCCTTTAATACAGTTCCTCATGTTGTGGTGACGACAACCATAAAAATTTCACTGCTGCTCCATAGCTGCAATTTTGCTACTCATATGAATCATAACGTAAATACCTGCTTTTGTCGGATGATTTTAGGTGACCCCTGTGAGAGGGTCGCTTGCTCCCCAAAGGGGTTGCAGCTCCCAGGCTGAGGGCTGCTGCAATGAAACCTCATTCCTAAACACAGACGCTGGCCTCTGCTTCGTTCACTGCAGGAATCTGTTTTCAAACATGCCTTGAGCCACCTTAGGTCCAAATGCAGGCAAGCAGAGAACACTGGACCCTCCCCAGACTCTGCTCGTCTCATTGCCTGCCAACACGAACCAAAAACCGAGAGTAAGGGCGGGCTTGGTGGCACACCTTTAATCCCAGCTCTTGGGAGGCAGAGGCAGGTGGATCTCTGTGAGTTTGAGGCCAGCCTGGTCTACAGAGTGAGTTCTAGGACTATACAGAGAGACCCCGGGGCAAAACACAAACAAACAAAAACAACAAGAAATGAGAGAGTAAAATTATCAACAGTCAAGCTTGCCTGCAGATGTGGCAAAGTCACGTGCCCGACAAACTTTAAACCCAACAGGCCGTGAAAGGCAGATACGGACCCGCACTCTGTCTTTGGTTAAGAGAGAGACAGGATCCTGAGTAAATTGGGAGCATGGGGACCTTGGGAGAGGGTTGAAGGGGAAGGGACAGGCAGGGAGGGGAGCATAGAAAAAAATGTATAGCTCAATAAAATCAATTAAGAGAGAGAGAGAGAGAGAGAGAGAGAGAGAGAGAGAGAGAGAGAGAGGAGCTGGAGGAGGGCTCAGAGAGGGCTGCTTCTGTGGAGGACCAGGGCTTCTACAGAAGACTCAAGCTCCAGGGTATCTGCCTCCTTCTGGCCTCTGCAGCAACTGCACTCATGTGCATGTGTGTGCATGTGTGTGCGTGCGTGTGTATGTGTACACGCACACACACTCATGCATGCGTGAGTCTGGACACATATGCAAATAAAAATAAAATAAAAATCTTTCTAAAAGATGAAATAGGGTCTGGAGAGATGGCTTAGGGGTTAAGAGCACTGGCTGCTCTCCCGGAGGTCCTGAGTTCAGTTCCCAGCAATCACTTGGTGGCTCACAACCATCTATAATGAGACCTGGTGACTTCTGACCTACAGGTATAAATGTAGGCAGAACACTGTATTTGTAATAAATAATTCTTTTAAAAAATGAAATAGACTAATGTAAGCAGCAAAGGACAAGTCAAGGCCCAGGTGCTGTGTGGGGTTGCATCCACCTGGCCACTCAGCCAATGAGGAGAGGGCTTGCATTACGGTTACACTAACTGTTCTCTGCACTCAGTCAGGTGTCGACCATGCTGGTCTAATGTTAGGACTTGCAAAGTTGCAAAATGCACTTCCTTGCCTTTAGTAGTCTGAGTCAGTGCTTTTACTATGGAGCGTGGAGGGGGACACATTTCTCACGCTTGGGGACTGGACTTTGATGATCTGTCCCCTCTAGTTAAGGGGACAGGATTTGTTAATAAGCAAAACTGGGTCCAGCTTCGTCTCTGCTCCTGACCACTTGACAAGTGATGAGTGTACAGTTCTCAGCCTCAGCTCTTAGCAGTGACTACCTGCATTGCAAAACCTCAATCAGAGAATGTCCACGAAGCAACTGGTCCCCTTCCTGACATTTAACGCTGGCTGCCAGGCACCACTGTCATATCAGTCAGGGAAGAAAGACGACCAGGGTTGCCAGGGACCGCAGCAGCACTCTGAGTGGAAGCCCAGACAGAAGAGGAAGCCCATGACTTGAGTGTGTTTTCTTCCATCATAGAGGCTTCCCTTCCCATCGTGTGCTGGGTTAGCCCTGTCAGCACAGGCTGCTGCAGGCTCGGGGGATGTGGTGAGGGATGTGGCTTGAGTTCTCACGTCACCGGGGTGCACTGGGTTCTGGCAAAGTCCTCCTAGATCAGAGCACAGGAGATCTGGCCATTACTGACAGGAAACCCGGGGGCTGGGGAGATAGATGGCTCGGTGGGTAACGTGCTTGCTGCACGCAAGCTTGAGGACCCAAGTTCGTATCTCCAGAACCCATGTGAAGCCTGATATGGTAGTGTACATCTGTAATCCCAGCCCTCCAAAGGTGAGACAGGGTGTGGAGACAGGGGGGCTCTCCAAAGCCTGTGGGCCAGCCTGGTGTACATAGAGGTGAATAAGAGAGTCTGTCTCAAGCAAGAGGAAAATGAGAAACAACGTCTGAGGTTGACCTCTGACCTCTACACATGGACCACACATGTACACACACATAGGAGAGAGAGAGAGAGAGAGAGAGAGAGAGAGAGAGAGAGCTGGGAAAGCTGAGCCCTTGTGGGCCTCATATATACCAGCATCGGTAGTCTTCACGCATCTACAGAAACTCCAAAGGAGAAGAATAAGCCCATGACACTCACCTACATCTGCTTGGCAGAATTAGAAACAGAAGCCAGAAGGTTAAGTAAGGGCTGGGGATGTGGCTCAGTTAGCGGGGTGCTCCTCCAGTGTGAATCAATACCTGGGTTCCATCCCTACTATCACGCAAGCCACATGTGGTGGTGCACACCTGTAGCCCCAGCACTTGAGAAGCGGAGGCAGGAGGAGTAGAAGGATCCGAAGTTTAAAGACATCCTTGGCTATGTAGTAAGTGCAAGGACACCCTGGCCATCAAACAAAAGACAAGCAAACAAAAGGTCCCTCAAATGTCCGATGAGAGTCATGAGCCGCTCTCCCCATACCCCTCTGTCCTCTTTTGGTTTATTTTTGTAGCCCACAGGTCCGGGTCATCAGGCAAACAGAAAGTGGAGTCACGGGAAAGTAGCTGAGTCCCCCAGCCCATCATTCATCCTGAGGGAGATAACCTACGAGACACATCTCTAGGCACGTCTGCGAGGGGTTATCTCGGGTACGATCAGTGAGGTGGGAAGGCACACCCTGAATGTGGGTGACATCGTCCCCTGGGTGCCATAAAAGGTAGAAATTGAGCTGAGCCCCAACATTCATCTCTCTTTGCTTCCTGATTGTGGGTGCCGTGTGCCCAGCTGCCTACACTCCTGTCACCATAATGGACTGCGTCCCCTTGACCTGTGAGCCAAGATAAACCTTGCTTGCGACAGGCGTTTTCTTACGACAACAATACAATAACTAATACACACCAGGCGGTTGCTTTTACAGAGTCAGGACATAATGGTGGTTTGAGTGACTGGGGGTGCATGGGGGGGAGTGTTAGTGTTTGAGGGACATGGAGTTTCAGTCACATGAGCCAGTTCTATGATTCGACACACAAACAGAGAGAATGGACATAAAGCAAACAGACTTACCCCCATGGATGTGGGTAAGACGGTAAATTCCAAGGCAAATGTAGTTTGCCACAATTTTAGAAAAGAGAAATAAAAACAGACAATTGAAGGCATCAGGCACGCCACAGGCTTCGTATAGGGAGGCAAGCATTTTGTAAACAGACTGTGTGAGGGCTGGCTCAGAATTTCCTTGATTCTACTGAGGTGTCCACACAATAGCTAGATGAAGCTCCTATTGAGTAACTCACACTTGGGTGGAGCTGCCAAAGGCAGCTGTCAAGCAAATGACCTCTACACCCATGAGTAGGTCGGGGTGGTGACCTTCATCACCTGCTGTAGCTGTGACCTGTTTTTACAGGAGTACTCACATGCAAAACCACCCATCCCACCCTTGAAACACATGTAGTTCACTGTAGAGTAAGTTCACCAGGGTGGAGTGTGGGTTTTAGAAAACAATGCTGGGCTGGGTAGACGGCGCAGTGGGAAAAGGCGCTCGCGGCCAAGCCTGATAACTGAGAGCTTCTTTAGGACTGAGGCTGCGTGAGTTTTGAGTTTTCTTTCACTTGAATCGATATTGTAATTTAGGATGTGACCTCAGGCCCATTCTGAGTTGGTCCAAAACAACACCTGGCATGTGTCCATCACCTACTCAGACACGAACTTTAGAGTTTAAAGATATACCCTCTCAGTGTCAGGTGCCACGGAGAAGACTCTGTCATATGGGGGATCCACATTGGACATCTCATATAATGCAAGGAAGTGTCCATCGTGGGAGCTGACACATTCCCCCCACACCCACTAAGCCCCCTGGGAGGCATCCGAACTGGGCCTTTGTGGAGTCTTGTTGCTATGCCATGCGTGGTCGGTGTAGGTTGCAGAGTGCTTCCAGCGACGGCGGTGCCTGAGAACAGGACTGCACGTATGCGCCGGCTTAGCACCCCCCACCTCCACCCTCTGCCACACAGCGGCTGGGCTCACCTGGGGCGGGTTCTCAACAACCAGCTCGTAGGTCAGTCCTGTACAGCCGAAGCGCAGGATGTCCCCAGGGATCAGCTTCACCGCCACGTTCTGAATGTGGCACTCGTTGACAAACGTGCCGTTGCGGGAGTTAAAGTCCTGAAGGACGAAGCTGCCCTCGTCCTCGTTAAATTCGATGAGGGCATGGTGGTTGTCAATGTCTGAGGACTGAGACAGAAAAAGCAGTCAGGGCTGCAAGCATGATCATCACAACATCCTTGATACTTGCTTCTCATGAGTTGCCAGAAGGTGGTGACACGGAGCGTTCTTGCTGGATACTCACCAGTCCTCATCTGTGTGTGTGTGTGTGTGTGTGTGTGTGTGTGTGTGTGTGTGTGCATGCAGTGTGAGTACACCTGTGCACGTGTGTGTGTGGAAGCCGAGATCAATACTGGGTGGTGGCGTGCTGCAGCTTACACCAAGGTAAAACAGTTCATCTTGGAGGGTAGGTACTCAAGACACCAGATGTTCAAACAGAGATGAAACAACAGAATGTTCATCTAAGGCAGCGGTTCTCAACCTTCCAGATGCTGCTGGCCTCTGATACAGTTCCTCCTGGTGTGGTGACCTCCCACCATAAAATTGCTGGTTGCTAATTCAAGACTGTAATTTTGCTACTGTTGCGAATTATAACACAAATATCTGTGTTTTCTGATGATCTTAGGCAAGCCCTGGGAAAGGGTGGTTTAACCCCCCCTCCCACGCACATACACAAAGGGCTCTTGACCCACAGGTTGAGAACCACTGTTCTAAAGGGAGGGGAAACATTCCATCCTGCTGGGAAGCTCTTTTAAGCTAGGGAAGGAAACAACTCAAAGGCATTATTCGGGGAAATTCCCGAAACTATCAGATGCACTAGGTCCCTCCCTCCCCAAGCTTATATAAGCAGTGGAGCTGCCAAGAGAGACAGACAGACAAGCTGAACTTCCCAGAAGAAGCAGAGCTACCCAGAAAGGACACTCCAACCTGCTGAGCTGCTGCAGGCTGTGCAGCGTGCTCCAGGTTCCCAGCTTTATGAGCCGTCACCCATGCTGGCATGGGCTTTCATGATAGAACTGTCGTTGAGTCATTTCTGCTCCTGCGAGTAACCCCTCACCCATGTTCCCATAAGTAACCCCAACACAACCTATTGATCCACTAGTGGGACTTTGGTGGTGTCCATACTTTGGTCTGTCATCAGCTCCCTTTCTGAGGTGTAGAGATATTTTTTCAAGTCTCCCCAGAAACAGTGTCTCATGGCTGGCACCTTCATTGCTCCTTGCCTTAACTTTTGAGACAGTGTCTCTCACTGCATCGTTGCTGTGGATGGACTGGTTGGCCAGCAAGCCCAGGGCTCCTCCCACCCACTCACACCAAGCCCTGGACTTCCAGATGACCTGACTTTTCATGGGGAAGCTGAGAATCTAAGCTCAGGTCCTATCCTCATCTGTTTCTCTGTTGCTGAGGCAAACGCGGACCAAAAACAATTTGGGGGGAGGAAGGTTTATTTGGCTTACAGTTAAGGTTCATCACGGACAGACATCAGGGCAGGGACCTGGAGGCAGGAATGGAATTGGAAGCCATGAAGGAGTGCTGCCGAGTGGCTTGCATCCAGGCTTATGGCCAACCATCCTTGCTAACTACCCAGGCCTATCTGCCCAGGGACAATAATACCCAGAGAGGGCTGAGCCCTCCCACATCAACCAGCACCCAAGAACACGCCCCACAGACACGCCCACAGGCCAATCTGATGCAGGCCAGTCAGTCTTCAGTAGCGGGTCCCTCCTTCCAAGTATGTGGGGCTGACAACCGGAATCAGTGAGAACAGGATGTCAGACACATCGACATTTTAGATCTGTTACTATCCTTGGCTCAGTTGCAAATGGTATCACACACATACAATGGACTATTAATCTGGGGGCTTATCCTAGTGGGACTTACTGAGTCATGGGAGTCAGGGACGGGACTTTCAAGGACCGAGGAGATGGCTCTGTTGGTGAAGTGCTTGCTTTCTTTTGAAGCATGAGGACCTGAGGTTATCCCCAATAAAAAGTCAGGCTGGTGGCGCATGCTTGAAATCCTAGCTGTGGATCTTTCAGGCTCCCTGGCTGGCCAGCTTCGCCTACTTGGTGAGCTTTAGGCCACTGAGAGGCACTGTCAAAAAATGTGTGTGTGTGTGTGTGTGTGTGTGTGTGTGTGTGTATACCTGAAAAATAACACCTAAAGTTGTTATCTGATCTCCACACACATACATGCACATGTGCACAAACTTGCACATACACACACATGCACACACACATGCATGCACCAGTCAGACCAGCCTTTTGGTAGCTGGATCTAAAGAGGAGTCTGCAGGGGAAATCACAGGCAATCTGCCTCTGTGGCTGGTTTTAACGGCAAAAGGGGTCAGAAGCCATGGAATGTTGGGAGCTTCCAGGACCCAAGTATGTCCTCCGACTGACAGCCAACAAGGAAAGGGGGGTCTCATTTCTGTAAGTGCAAGAAAATGAATTCTTTCAAAAGCCTGAATGGGCTTCAAGACGTCAGGGAGGACCCCAGGGCCGCCAACACTTTGCTTTTGACTTTGAGTGACAGAACGAGACTGAATCCACCCAGGTTTCTGGCTGGAAGCTGTGAGGTAGTAAGTGTAACATTGGAGACAGAAAGCTAACGTAGCAAGGGAAATGTTCTGCTCTAACAGCTGCCAGTGGCGGTCCCAGCCACTTCCCAGCAGAGCGATCTCATGACACTGTCACCACAAAGGTCCCCATTGCACATGCTCAGAAGCGGTGGCTGAAGGAGACTGCACAGCTTGTCCGCACCCTGTACCCTACTGGGCAGAGCCGAGCTCACCCACTTGCCACTAAAAACCAATCAGCCAGTTTCCCATTCTTTCTGCCTGCTCAAGAGTCTCTCAGAGCAACAGAGGTGGCCAACGCAAAGCCGTTTGTGGGGAGGCTCCATCTTCCAGGTACGTTCTGTACTGAATGCTTAGCCTTGCCTGCCCACGCTACCAAGGTTCTCTGTTCCTTGACTTGCTGTCTTAGGGTTTCTGCTGCTGTGGAGAGACGCCATGACCAAGGCAACTCTCATAAAGGAAAAGCATTTAATTGGAGTGACTTACATTTGGAGAGGTTTAGTCCATTATCATCATGGTGCAGCATGGTGGCATGCAGCAGACATGGTGCTAGAGAAGCCAAGAGTCCTGTAACTTGGCTTGCAGGCAAAAGGAAGTGGCCTGAGACACAGGGCGTGGCTTGAGCATACATGAGAACGCAAAACCCACCTCTGTGGCACACTTCCTCCCACAAGAGCACACCTACTCCAACAAGGCCACACCTCCTATAGTGCACTAGATAGTCAAAGGGAATAAACTCCTTTTGGGGGCCGCTGTCTTTTGACCATCAGTCTTGCCAAGCCAGACCACTGGTCACCGAATCCAGACCCTCGCACTAGCTGCTGGGTGTCCTTTGCAGACCGACTCTGACAGGCTTCTAATTAAAGAGGCAATTAGGCTTCGTTTACTCTGAGAACCTGCCCTTAGTACCCCAGGTAGGACTCAATGGCTACCCTAGTACAGCCTCCAGATCCACTTAGGGAAACATGTTGTTACCCTAGTTGCCCAGCAGAGGGCGCCAGCCCAACGTGCTGCCTCGAAAGAGAATCACGAGCTAGTCAGCTGGTTTACTGTTAGCTCTCATTAAGGATTCCACGGCTTTAGGTGGCTGCCTTAGTATCCCTGTGAACCCACAGGATTTTTAGATGCTCCTCAAGCCACATGGGAAAGCATGGAGTCAGTATCACTTCTGAAACCGCTCCTGTGGTTTTGGCTTTTCCAAGACCCATTTACACACTTTGGTATATAAGAGGATAATAACAATAAAAGTGGTTTTTATCTCATAGGGTAGCATTGTGTGTGTGCATATTCATATGTGACAGTGTGCATGTGTGTGTGTGTGTCCAAGCGTGTGCATTCATGTGTGCCAATCTCTTTCCTTAGGTGCTGCTCACCGTATTTTATGGCTCAGGGCCTCTTGCTGGCCTGGAACTTGCCAGTATGGCTAGTCTGGCCGGCCAGGGAGCACCAGGCAGCCCCCTGAGTTACCCCTCTGTGGAAGCAATCTCACAGACACACCTTCAAAAGATATGCTTCCTGAGGGATTCTAAAGCTTGCTACGGCAACAACGAGATCAGTTGTCGTAGAAGTAAGGGAGGTGGAAGAGAGGATGCTGCCAGAAGAGAAGAGGCTAGCGGGATGTGGCAAGTGGAGGAATCTGATAGTTAGGAGTCTGCATTTAGTAACCAAACTCATAAGCAAGTGCAAAGCCCATCAGCCGCGGGATGGGGACATTTCTTCCTTCTGCTTTTCCCAGCGGAGCTCAAATAACCATCGTGTTCACCAGGCGCAGAGATGTGCGTCTGTCATCAGTCATCAGAGGGATGTGCACTCTGTCACCGTGTGTGACAGAGGCAGGAGGATCGCTTAAGTTCAGGAGTTTAGGGCCAGTCTGGGCAACATAACGAGACTCGTCTCATAAACAAAGAAAGAGGGGCTGGGGAGGTGGCTCAGCGGTACTCCGCTTACCATGCAAGTCTGAGAACCTGGCTTTTGATTCCCACCGTGAGTGACAGGCATGGCAGGGGCATCTGGAACCCTAGCCATGGCGGTATATAGGAGGGTGAAGACAGGTGGATCCTAGGAACCCAGACTTTGAGTTCCAGGGTCAGTGAGATGCTGTCTCAAAATTTAAGTTGGGTCTAAGAGATGGCTCAGTGGTGAAGGGGGTTTGAAGCGCTCTGAAATCTATTAGCTGTACTCAGGAAGTTCACAACCTGTTGTAACTCAGCTCTGAGGGCTCCCACACCCTTAACTGGCCTCTGCAGGCAGCCACACAGGCACACACACACACACACACACACACACACACACACACGCAGAGGCAGAGAGAAACAGAGAGGAGAGAAAGAGAGAGAGAGAGAGAGAGAGAGAGAGAGAAGCAGTCAGTAACCATCTCCAATATTAAACTGTACAGATTACACTTCAGGAGGGTTTAGCGCTGAGCTGAGCTGGGTTAAGTCAGGGAGTGGAGTCTAATCACATTGTAGCCAGAGTGGCCATTTTGAAATTTAGTCCCCCTCCCTTGCCAGGAGTCCTTGAGTTCCTTTCTCCCCTTGCTCTCCCAGACTGA